GGTCCGGTTGGAGGCAATTGCTAGTAGGTTGGAGGCCATCGCTCCTACAGGTTGGAGGCCATCACTCTTAGGTTGGAGGCAATTGCTAGCAGGTCCGGTTGGAGGCAATTGTTAGTAGGTTGGAGGCCATCGCTCCTATAGGTTGGAGCCCATCGCTCTTAGGTTGGAGGCAATTGCTAGCAGGTCCGGTTGGAGGCAATTGCTAGTAGGTTGGAGGCCATCGCTCCTATGGGTTGGAGGCCATCGCTCTTAGGTTGGAGGCAATTGCTAGCAGGTCCGGTTGGAGGCAACTGCTAGTAGGTCCGGTTGGAGGCCATTGCTAGTAGGTTGGAGGCCATCGCTCCAAAAGGTTGGAGGCCATCGCTCTTCGGTTGGAGGCAATTGCTAGCAGGTCTGGTTGGAGGCAATTGCTAGTAGGTTGGAGGCCATCGCTCCTATAGGTTGGAGGCCATCGCTCTTAGGTTGGAGGCCATTGCTAGCAGGTTCGGTTGGAGGCAATTGCTAGTAGGTTGGAGGCCATCGCTCCTATAGGTTGAAGGCCATCGCTCTTAGGTTGGAGGAAATTCCTAGCAGGTCCGGTTGGAGGCAATTGCTAGTAGGTTGAAGGCCATCGCTCCTATAGGTTGGAGGCCATCGCTCCTATAGGTTGGAGGCAATTGCTAGCAGGTCCGGTTGGAGGCAATTGCTAGTAGGTCCGGTTGGAGGCAATTGCTAGTAGGTTGGAGGCCATCGCTCCTATAGGTTGGAGCCCATCGCTCCTATAGGTTGGAGCCCATCGCTCTTAGGTTGGAGGCAATTGCTAGCAGGTCCGGTTGGAGGCAATTGCTAGGTTGGAGGCCATCGCTCCTATAGGTTGGAGCCCATCGCTCTTAGGTTGGAGGCAATTGCTAGCAGGTCCGGTTGGAGGCAACTGCTAGTAGGTCCGGTTGGATGCAATTGCTAGTAGGTTGGAGGCCATCGCTCCTATAGGTTGGAGGCCATCGCTCTTGGGTTGGAGGCAATTGCTAGCAGGTCCGGTTGGAGGCAATTGCTAGTAGGTTGGAGGCCATCGCTCCTATACGTTGGAGGCCATCGCTCTTGGGTTGGAGGCCATTGCTAGCAGGTCCGGTTGGAGGCCATCGCTCCTATAGGTTGGAGGCCATCACTCTTAGGTTATTGCTAGTAGGTTGGAGGCCATCGCTCTTAGGTTGGATGCAATTGCTAGCAGGTCCAGTTGGAGACAATTGCTAGTAGGTTGGAGGCCATCGCTCCTATAGGTTGGAGGCCATCGCTCATAGGTTGGAGGCAATTGCTAGCAGGTCCGGTTGGAGGCAATTGCTAG